GTGTGTGAGAGTCTCTGATTGGCTGTCTTTGCGTGTCCTGCAGGTGTCGCTGGGCGCTAGGATGAACGGCTTCGGGTACGAGCTCTTCCAGGTGTCGGAGGAGCGCGACGAGGAGGTGGCGGCGTTCTGCCACACGCTGGATGTGTGAGTAGCCTGTTGCTGTGACGATCACACTCAGTCACAATCCTCCGTCTCGCCCTTGCTGGCGTCTCCACCCGCTGCCCTCTCACCTGTCTGCGTCTCTTTGCCCTCAGGCTGCGCTCGGCGTACCCGTGCTGTGACCGCTCAAAGAACGCCGGCTTTGTGTGGTCGCCCTCCGTCGGCCACGAAGAGCTCCATCAGGGCCTGGGGGTCAGCGTGAAGGTGACGGTCATCAGCGAGCACTTCAGAGAGCCGCTCACCTTTACCTGTGACAGTAAGACGCTGCATTCACTGTCACCAAATAAGCGTCTGTAGCTGTGACGTCTGGTTTTTCCGTGAGGATAAAAATGTCTGACTGAAAACGTTAGCTTCGTATGAATACGCGCGCTGGCTGCCATCTTGCTTTTTAAAATTCATCTGGGACACGCCATTATTTCGCCGGAGGGTCAGTCAGGTCAGCTCAGGGGTTAAAGGTCAGGAGAGCAAACAGAACAGCACTGACCCTTCAAAAGTCTGCGAGTGTGATTTAAAGGAATTCAGTCAGTTTGTCCTCTTAAAATCTTTTTATGTCCAAGACACGCTAAATTATGCTGTGACGTTATTTTACCCTGAAAGGACCTGCTGATGGCGTCCAGCTGTGCGTCTGTACAGTTATACTTCACCTGTTTATAATACTGAAGCGTGTGTGTGCGTGTGTGTGTGTCCGAGGTTCGTCCACCGTGGACCTGCTCATCTACCAGACTCTGTGTTACGCTCAGGACGACCTCGACCATGTGAACGTGGACGACTACCTGCTGAAGGTCTGCGGACATGACGAGTTCCTCCACAAGTAAGAACCTCAGAGCCGGGGTCTCCGAGCCGCGCCTGAACTCAGCAGCTCTGTAGCGTCCTTCAGCTGATCTGTGGTCTGTGGTTCAGACATAATAACAGAGCAGAGCTGTGGCTGCTGTTACACCAGCAGCAGCAATGACCACACACACACACACACACACACACACACACACACACACACAC